GCAAGTTGATACCGCAAGCTGTTTCCATCGTGTTAGTTCGAATTGCAAGTAGACAAGTCAAAATTGCTTCTTTTATGTTGTATTACTGTACAAATGACCACAACCTATTATTTTCTTGGCAATGCAGGAATATTCGTACCAGGATGAGCTATTAAAAACTTAGCATTTGATTTACTGATATGTTTTCTATTCTCCAAGTATGGATTAAATTCATTGATTGGATTTTCAAGTCTCTAATCTGTTGTTTTGAATTACTCGAGTAATTGAATCTTATTTTTTTTTAGTTTTTGTAAACTGAAATCTTATTCTGCTTTGCTTTCATCATTTTGTGTTAGAATTAGATCTCATTGCTCACATTTGCGCTCTTAATATATCTATTAAAAGTGGGATTTGAAAACTGTTGAGATAGCGAAATTGAAAGTACGATAATCATAGATCTAAAGAAAAGCCTGTCCAAATTTCTTTTCTAATTTTTTAACAATACCGCAACTACCTATGCCTTGATCGTTCTTACTATTCAAATGTGATTTGAACTTATCACAGTACAATTACTAATGTGCTGAAACGTAGGTGTCAATCAAGTACAAAAATGTTCGTTGAGGAACATCGAACATTTTGTCGCACAATATCAATACTGAGCGGTCTGCTGTCGTTTAATGTTTTTCGTATAATTCCAGACAGTTTCATTAACGTCAAGATATCACAGACTTGACCTTTTATTTGAGAGTTTTTACCTTCTCTTTCGTGTAAACTGTTAATCCTGATCGGAAAATTCTAGGTGTAAGATGATGATTCAAGTTTACCTAATCTTATGGATAGTGCTGCCACTCTCAGCTCAGATCCTTGAACTGAAGCCTGGGAAAGTATTGGGCTTTGACTATGAGACAAAGAAAGGAGATATCGCAGAAGTTTTTCTCAATATACCTTACGCATCTCCACCCGTGAACGAGCTTAGATTCGAGGTAGACCTTTGGTTCTAACCTTCTAAATATTGACCCATAGAATCAGACAAATTGATTATCATTTAAGAAAACAAAGCCTATAGAACAGTGGAAGGACATTCGTAATGGCACAACACTTGGTCCCGCATGTCTGCCAGTACTACCTGGTGTTGGCTATGGTGTAGCCCCCACCAGTGAGGATTGCCTCACCCTCAATATAATCCGACCTAAGAAAAAGGTTTTTTTTTAGCCAGATTATTGTAATGAAGTGTAAAATTCCATGTTCAGCCTCCTCCATCAGGCTTTGCTGTTCTGTTCTATGTTCATGGTGGCGGCTATCAATTCGGTTCTGCACACGACTATGGGTACAAGGGCTTCGCAGACATTTATACGCCTCAGGACGTCATTGTTGTAATCATACAGTATCGCCTCGGAGTTTATGGTAATACCACTTTGTTGCTAACTTAACATTTATAAGTCACAGTCTTCGGCGGGTGATAGAAGATACGATGAGAAACTGAGATGTCAAATGGCATGAATTCTATAGATTGTCAAGATAAGAAACCTCTAAAATTTACAGACATTTGATATCTTGCAGTAGCTATAGACTGAATATACGAGGAAACCAGGAGAGGGATTTTAAAGGGCACAGAAGTCTTGAAACTTCATATATTATCCAAAAATCTTCTTATCATTCGGAGTTCAATACTGTCTCATGGTGTTCTAGGTTTAGAAATCGGAGAAATCAAGGAACCACAGTACTTCTGTTAGACCCTACTCTCAACAAACTCCCTTCTTGAACCTTGACGTTTCAAAATGTAACCAGCAGATTCGAATATCTCGGAAATCACCTCCCCTGATGCATTACATACAGGCGCCGATAGTGTTGCCACAAAATGTCAAGATTGAAACAAGTTATGAGCCTTGTATTATTTTCCAGCTTCTGCTGCCTTATTTGCGGCTACATGCTGGCGATTAAGTATGATCAAGAAACCCAGAGTTAAGCAACAAAATTGAAGATATCATCCATGACACTCTAACCCTGGTGGAAAAATGACTCCGTTCGGCAATGCAGTGACATGGCTGTATTGAGAAGAAGCTTATTAGAAGTATATCGAGACCGTGTCGAAAATGTTGATGAAAAGCCACATATTTGCATTTCAGTACAATTGCAATATACATCTTCGGCAAGCAAAGTAGGGCTAAAGAAGGTTTTGAAGATAAAATTTTGCTTGACAAAGCTTTCAAAAAGATATCTAACGGGACCGAACGCAGTCTTCACTCTCGAGGATTCTTTTGATTTCGAACGTCTTTATTTACCCAAAAAGTAAAGCTGCTTAATCTATGGATATACCAGGAACCACGTTGGGATGTACTGAAACCTAAATTAGATTACCGTATTGGTGCAGACAAGCTTAGCTATGAATGAAACTTTGCAAATTTGCCATCAGTTCACAGCTCAACATAATATCATATCAATTCTATCAAACTAAAGTATAAATTACTGCTTTTTAGGATTCTTTTCTACTGGAGATGAACGCATGCCAGGGAATTTAGGATTATTTGATATGGCAGAGGCGCTTAAGGTATGTAAAGCTTATACCCGGCACTTACAAAGTATTTTATGAAAGTGGTAATATGTCGCTGATTTAAGTTTGTGCACTCCAATGCTGATAGATTTGGAGGCGATTTATCTCGAATAACAGTTTGCGGACAAAGTTCAGGTGGTGCTGCTGCCGGTCAGCTAATCCTCAGCCCCATAACCAGAGGTGAGATCAAGTCATGCTCTTTGTTTCTGTCTGATGGCATTTAGTAAAGAGAAAATGAACAATGTGTTCACTATCAATTTTAGATAAATTCTGTTGTTTTAATGAAATAATATCTTGCAGATTACGTTTTTCGATCTATTGAGATGTCTGGCTCGCCCTGGG